AGACTTGTAAACAATATCCCAAAGCCTGTTTTACGCTGTGTGGACCAGGGTGGGATTTTCAAATACTGAGTTGCACAAGGACTTATATTCTTCTGTGAGATGAACTGCCCACTATTCAGCCTGTCTCTTACAGCAAGTGACATACCTGATGCAGCAAATAGGACAGATCAGTTCAGAACAAAATTAAAGATCCAACTTCAGTATTTAAGTTTGGCACCCACTTTAGGTATGTTTGAAAATGCTGCCATGGAGGATCTCCTCCCTAACTTGCAAAGCAGCACCAATCTTACATATTCAAACTGGGCTTGCACTATGCAGCTTGCAATTTATTATGTGCACACAGCCTCTGAGATATTATTAAACTACTTCATCAGAGGTAGTACAATGGTGATGAAATGCTCCAAGGGTCAAATGTGTAGCCTATTGCAAGTCTGTTGAGCTGGAGGGAGGCCTATATCAAGAAACTTATTATCCACGTGGACAGACCAGGAAGTGGCTGAATGAAAGGATGAACCATTGTCTCCATTTGATACTGGAGAACTGAGACAATACAAATTCATTGACTAGTCTGGGCAGAGGATATGTAGGAGAGCTGGGATTTGGCCTAGAGCTCTGGGATCCCAGTCAAACACCATAGTCACACAACTATCTTTCCTGCACCCCTCTCCAAGCACAGTGCATTTCATTCTTTCCCTCAGCACCAGCTCCAGTCTCTCACTGAAATTGGAGTTGCTAGAATTAATGGCATGCTGTTGCTGTGTACTGCAAGAGCAAAAGATTAATCCACCTTCCCTTACAGTAAAATAACAGGTGCCTTGTAGGCATAAGCCAAACTTCAAAACACATCTTTACTAATTCTTGAAATCACTTTTGAGGCTTTTACATGTGGTTCCTTACTCCCTGTGCCAGCAGGTGGGAGAGGAAGCCTCCATAAATCCTGATCATTCTGAAGATTTTGTATATCCTTGAGACTCCAGCACTGAATCTCTTTTGTCTCCCTTGAGCTAATGCCCCAGTAGCTGCATCTTGACTTTCAAACATATTAACTGAGTTGCCAATCATCATTATTATTTTTTTCTTAGCAATCTTCCAGCTTAACTTCAGCAATCCTCTTGTCTCTTTCAAACTACAAAGTCCAAATGGCAGAAAAATCACTGTATAAAGGCTGAATTTTGCAGGGGCGGGGGGGAAAGAAGAAGTAAAAGATGGTCCCACGAATGAGATTCACTCAGTCTCAGGTCAGCCTTTTTCCAGCTTTTCCTGGAATGCAAATTACTTTTAGTCTGTGAAACTGGGAGGATTTCCTATAAACCAGACACATGTGTCAGTTGAACCAACTTACTGGATACCCTAGGGATTTCTTCAGGCTATCCTTCCAGCAATTTGAGATGATCTCCAACATAACAAAAAAGTAGTGAAGCTTTCTTTCCTTTTCCTTGAAGATTCAGCTTGCAGAATGGAGTACTGACAGGGTACTGACTGAGCCTGGGGAGAATGACCTGCAAAACACCTGGATTAGCAGCAGACAGTGGCCCAGGCCTGCAATGTCAACTAGGGAGTGGAAGACAGGTTTAGGAGATTGGAGATGCCAGCTCTCATTCCAGCTCTGCCACTGAGTCACTGATAGCAATAAACCAAGTTCATTAATAGCTAGCAGAAACACAATTTGCAGATGAAATAACCAAGGACTTGTCAGTTCCCCATGCTCTGCTAGTGAGGAGGTGAGCAAGAAGCCTGGAGAGAGCATGGCTGGGACAGGCGACCCAAATTAGCCAGAGGGGTATTCCATATCATATCCATCCCATATCATTCCTTTATTCCATACCACAGAGCAGTGGGGATGCTCAGTATATAAAATGGGGGGAGTTGGCCAGGAGGGGTAAATTAATGCTGAGGGACAAGGTGGGCATTAGTCAGAGGGTGGTAAGCAATTGTGCATCACTTTTTTCTCTAGGATTTTATTGGCATTTCTCTCTCCTTTTCATCATCATTACTACTACTATTACTACTACTACTATTATTACCATTATCATCATAATTATATTTTGTTCAATTATTAATCTGTCCTTAATGTCAACTCACAACTTGCTACATTTTTTCTGATTCTCCTCCCCACTGCACTGGGCTAGGGGAGTGAGCAAGCAGCTGAGTCATACTTAGTTGCCAGCTAGGTCAAACCACATCACTCTGAAACCACATGTCCAGCAACTCTGGACAAGCACCCGAGCACTGAAGTACTTCTTCACAATCTCAGGGCTTAGATGTATTGCAGTATATTTTCAAATGCTGGGGCTGGAATCCATCCTCTTTTTCTCAGGGTGATTAATAGGCTTATCTTCAGATATCCTAGAGGAAAGTTTTCATTCCAACTATCTAGCTGTGAGAAGATGTGATGCACTCAGTGTGTTTTCTTCCAGAAAAGAAGAAATTATGCTGGGAGACTCCTGAAACTACACTTTACTGAGACAGAATGAGGTCTTAGAACTCATTCTAAATTGTTGAATTAATTAAGCCTTCTTGTACTAGCAGTGACTTAACCAGGTGAACCACTGAAAAAAAGACTTGACACAGGTGTTGAAGCCTGAGGGAATCTCTATCACTTATTTTAGCTTTGGGGTTGTAACTTCCCAGCAGTCTTGCTCACACTGTCAAAAAGGGCAGGCTGAAAAATAACGTCCTCAAGAAAACTGTTGGAATGGCAGAACACACAGTCCAGAGCTCTGGAACCATGCAAATCAATTCATCATGTCTCACTTCTTCAGCTACTTTTGGATTGAGACTTTTAAAACTTTATGTGTGTGCGCTGTCCTTGAATTGAGGAGGCACAATATTTTCATGTTATTCAAGTCTTGCTCTTCCCAAGGCTAAGTACTTAGAAAAAATTTTAAGAAGAGGGGTTAAAAATAAAGAAAGTGACAATGTTTTCTTACTGTGCAAGATGGTTTCTTTGTGAAAAAAAACTCTTTAAAAGACATTCTTCATACAACAGAGGTTACTGTGAATACAAATAGCCACTCCAGTGAGATAAAGTGGTGGTTCTGAAATGATGCAATTAGAAAGAGATGAAAAAAAAAGAAAAAGAGAAGGCAGCTAACACAAATAGTAATTTTAAAAAATGCCAGAAGAAGGAAAGAAGAATCACATTTCTGTACATGAGAGTAATAATAAAAAAGTCCTTTTTCAGTTTATTTTCATTTACCAATGTTTTATACCCAATAGCTCTTTAGATATAATTCCAAGTTTCCTTTATTCTGTCATTGACAGAAGAACCAAATGCACTTGCTTTAAGTGAGAGTGTAGTGTTGAAAGAAGAAAGCCATAACATTAATTTGAGAAGTGGATGACTTTGTATGCAGCAGGATGGATCAACTCCACTGAGTTTAAGATGATGAATGGTACAACAAACAATGATGGACACGTACTCAAGTGGATTCATATTGCTAAATTTTGATTTAGAATGCAACACAGTATTGGGTTTTCTCAAGTGCCCACATTGTAACAATACAAATAACAAATACAAATACAAATTGTTTGGGATAGAACGCTGTAAAAATCTCAGATATCAAAACTTCTGACAGTAATGTCTTTTTTCATGCATGAAAACCAAACATGCTTTCCTATCTGTGGTGTTACAAAATGAATGACCAACACAGCTCTGCCCTAAGCATGCATATGTTAAACCTGGCTGAATTGGTAAGTATTACACTTCAAAACATTCCTGCTCCTCTTCTGGCATGCAGGCTATATGTATTTCTGGCTCTACCTTCCTGTGGTTAGTTCTAATGACTTCTCCATGAGAGTGGACACAGTCAATGTAAAATGATTAGATAGTCATAAAAATTGCTGATTTCTAGCAGGTCCTGAGACCTACTGTCTCAGCTTCAAACACTCTGCTAATGGCATCTAGAAAATACAAATCCACAAAATTAGCCTAGCAAAAATTAAAGCTGCCCTTTATGGATTTTATTGTTGCATTTTTCTTCCAGGAAAAATATTAAATCTCCCCTCAAGAGAGATGTCACAGTAAAAATTTCTTCGATAGAATGACACTCCTTCCTTTGGTCTCTACTTCTGGGGACCTTCAGCCTCACACAGTATCTTGTCACAGAAGAAGCCAGAGTTCTTGTCTCTGTAAGTTTGAATTCACACCTTTCAACTGGCAAACAAAGACTTGAAAGCATTGAATGGATGAAATTCTTTCCTTTCTTACTGTGGTGCCTATATGAAAAGGACTAGATCAGGATTACCCTAGTGGAGACTGATATTATTTCAATATTATTCCTTCCTTCTTTATTTTTCTGAAAGTTCACTGCTGCCTGGCAGTTTCTAGTCATGCCTTTGCTTCAGCTACTGAAGATTTCATTTTTTATGAGTGTCTAAACAAGCAAACCCTTGTTAGCAACTCACAAATTATTAGCCAATGCCAAGAAGTAGAGCAAAACACACATCCAGATCATGTTACCAGTTAGTAACTCTGGCAGCTCCTGAGCCACCTCTTGGTGTCCATCCTGAATAGCAGAGTATTTGCAGAAGGCTGAAAAAGCTGTTTTTCTTATTCACATTACATGCACCCTTATTCTTGGACTCATGATAGCCAACTAATCAGTGTCTAATTCATGCAGAATGCAGTACCATAGTGTGAAATAGAAAGCCAGTATGCAACCAAAAAAGCCCCACAGAAATGCTATTTCTTATATTGAGATTATTATGTCTTTGTTGCAAAGAAAGGTACAGCTTAGAGAACACTGACTAAAGCATAACTTGAACTGGTCTCATAATAGAACATTGTTTCTACCATGGAATGAAATGCTGTCATGCAAACCTGCAGAGAGTGCAACAAGGAAACATAATGCTTCCAGCCAAGGGCAGAACTGGAGAATTCTGATCATTATAGAACATAGCCAGTGACAGACATCTCCTAGAGACAGCTTGCATCATTCAAATAACTAATTTATGAGGGTTTAAAATAAGACACTGTCTTATATAATCAAGTATTAACATGTCACTTCTCATATGTAAGTTTTTGTTTGCTTTTAATAAAACAACACTTGCATATATTTACCTGAATCATCTACTCTCAGCTTTTTACTGGGATTGTCACCACTGTCATCATCGGACATTTCCATCTCCTCTTCCCGGCGGATTCCCATGAGCTGTTCACTGTGAGCATTTCGGAGCTCCTAAAATCCAAAATTACCTTTTGTCAGTATTAACACCCATAAAGTCAATATGCATTATTTAGTATCTGTTTTTAATACTGATCTGATTTTAATTATACATCATTTATCATTACAATCATATTTATTTGAGTAGGAATATTTATAAAAATAGAAGCAAGGGGAATTCTTTTTCTGAAAGAACTGAGTTTACCAAAAGTAACACTCAGAGAAAACAAGAGAAAAAGTGACTTTCCCCCATGAGTGATCTTTAGGTCTACTAAACAGGAGAATGTTTTAACAGCAGGGAAAATACTTAAAACTGGTGTATAAAGCAGACTGATAAAGAGATTGTCAGCCTGCTTAAGGGATAGCTAATTCTTGCTTCCCTCCGCCACTTGGGGTACAATTCACTTGGCCAAATGTGGGTGTCTCCAGCACACAAAGTTGTATTAACTAAAAGGCACCCTGAAAGTGCCTTGCTCTCTCTGCTGATTGCAAAGGGAGCTGAGAGCAGACAATGCAGCTGAAGATCTGTGTATTTGTAAGTGCCTAATGCTGGTCAAAGGAACCTCACCCTCCGTCCCTACGCCCAGATTGCCTTGGATTTAAAAGACCCAGTCCCACAACGCTGGCCTGAACATCTTTGCATCTTGATCCAACATGAGTGGCAGGAGGACAGCTCGGTGTCCGGGTGACGGCTCAAGGGCAGGCAGGCAGCCCCTGCACATGTCACCGGGAAAAGGATCGGCAGGCACCGGGCTTTGTAGGAGTCTAGACAGTCTTTGTCCTGGGGAGAAAAGCTGGCGCGGGCGCAGCGGCTGCCTTTTTAATGGCAGCACTGAGAAGATTGAGAGGACTCTATTTTGTCCTAATAATCCTGTCAGGTGTAACATGGGGATGCTGCACTGTGATTAGTGTAGGCTTTGTCCACCCGCAGACAGCTAATTTTTCTGCCAACAAAGAGCTTAATTCCCAAAGAGGTGGTTTGAAATCTTTGAAACAAGGGAGAGTCGTGTGGAAGGAGGAGACAGCATTGAGGAGTCCGACAACAGCTCTGTGCAATTAACAATAATCTGTCAGAGAGGGGCTGCGTGAAAAAAAGGGAAGGCGTTTCTCTTGCGCTGTATCCTTGGTTCATCAGCAGATCTCAAATATTCTGAAAAATGTATGTGTACTCATTAATCCCAGCAAAGGCAAGGAACCTAATTAATGGGTGTTTTACAGGGGAATAATTTCAAATTAAAAAAAACAAAAGTTATTAAAAGGCTAAATTGACAGCCACTCTCTAATGGAATCAGAAGTGTCACTAGAAGAAATTGGCAGGCCATTTCTGAATTCCTTATTGGAAAAGGCCACCCTCACATTTTCCTGGGGAAGAATGCTGCATACATGAGCAGACATCCGCTTGCATTTACTCCCTCATTAGTGGACAAATGTCCTTGATGCATCAGTGTCTACATTATCAGCAAAGTCAGTAATTTTCTACAGAGAATGTCTATGTTTATGAGGCTTTTCTTTGCCTTGGGTTTCTAGTAAAGCTTTTCTAAATTCAGCAAAAAACTGGAAGGTGATCAAGTAATAATTAAACAAATCAGCAGATAATACCATGGTTAGAAGATACAATTTAAATCAAATATACCATTTGGTTTATTTGCATCACATTTCATATCTGAAAAACAGGCGTTTCCAAAATATATTGGCTTAGCTACATGTTTACATCATTTTGAATTGTTTTAGTTGTCCTCCTCTCAGAAAAACAAAAGGCAGTAATTTTTGAAAAAAGAGTAAAGAATTGACATTTCTAGAAAGTCTGACTCTTACACATTTCAGTTTATTAAATATTTAGAAACCAGCAAATGAATGACATACCACATCCCTTTACAGAAAGTTAGTTTAAGAAGGGATGATCTTAATATAATTAAAATAATCTACTCACAAATTATATTTTCATATTTCTCTAAAAGATAAGGCAAAGATCAATCCCCAACTTCCCAACTTTCGATTGAACAAAGGCAATATCCACTATGTATATGAAATATTTGTGAGCAAAATGCAAAATACAGTTTGTACCAATAAATTATGCTAACATTTTATTTTAAGTGTCCCATTATTGAAGTAATTTTGTATTCACCATAATAGCACTGATAATAAAGTATTCATTTGGTATTCATGTGGATGTTACATTTAGTGCCATTGGTATTCAACTGTAATTTAGCATTAGTTAATGGACACTTAAAATGTTATCCAAATGATTTATATCACAGCACTTCAGTGTTTCTCAAACTAAGTGTACAACACTTATTTTACAAGTGTACTACAAAATAATTAAATAAGTGCACCTTACCTTCTAAAGTTTTTATTCTGAGACAGAGAAAAATCATTTAGAGGACTGTGATAGTAACAATCAACACACTGTACCACATGACGGTAAACCAAGTGTATGTCAATTGCTCATATTAAAATTTAAAAAAAAAGGAAGAAGAAAGAAAGAAAACAAAGACAGCGGTACTTACTTTTCAAAATACAGGCTCATAGCGTATATACTGAATTAAAATCGAAAGCTGGATGACCAAAGCACAGGATGAGGTCTAGCACTTCCTTTGCTGCCACTCACAGCAAGGGGAGTTAGAATCCCATTTCCCCTGCTCATGCTTATGACAGTCACACATGCATGGTCTCACACTGCTTACTCTGTGTGGTTGTATGATTACATTTATACTGGTTTCTTTGCAAGCATAATACTTAGACTCAATACAAGCAATGTATCTACTTTTTTAAAGATAAACATAGAACAAATGGGAAGGAATAGGCCACAGTTACAGACTTAATATTCTTAAGTCATTACTTAGGAAATAATTTTTTTATTTTGTTTTCACTCAAAGTCATCTTATAATAACCATAAGATGGCACAGAGAAGAAAAAAATCTTTGTCACAGAATTCTTTTAAAAACAGATCACGATGACTCCTAAATTCCTATTTGAAAATATTGTTCCTAATTTCACTACTTCAGTTCATTATTTTAGATAGTAAACATAATCTTCTAATGATTTCTCAAATTTTGCATGAAAAATAAAAACACATTGCTCCCTGTCTTCATGTTATTTAATGACTATTACCATAATGAGAGCAATGGGAGCAATTCATACTGCAGACGAGAGTGTAAACGGCCAGTTGATTAACAGCTAAAATGGCAGCTGTAAATATTGCCAAATACACTATGTCCAGCTACAATCACACTCGTTCTGTGTCAATCCAGCTGTGAGATGATGGATAGAAAGTAAAAATAAAATCACCAACCTCAGAATGCTTTCGCCAAATGTCTATGTTCTTTCGCTGGGCTTTCGAGAAATGGTCCCAAGCTTTTTGTCTGGTAGAAGCGTTGAAAACGGCGACAATCTGCTCAACTTTGGTGAACAAGGAAGTCAAACAAGACAAGCAATTTATGTTGTGATCACTATAGAGAAGCAAAGCAAAGACACTAGGAGTCTATGGATGATGTCATTACTGAAACAACATCATCAATATCCATCCAATGACGTGTCTTTTGTACTTACATTGCATCAATGTTGGAGATGTCTCCCTTCAAGTCTGTCTCCATAACTTTAGTCTACACAACTCTTAACTATGCACCAAGAACCAAGCATGCAGCTGCTTCCCCGTGATGTCTGCTACCACTCCCTGTGCTGGCACACTCCTTTGCATGTGTGGCAATAGGTGTGTGACCACAGGAGTGACCCTTGAGACATCCACCTGGCACGTACGTGTTCCCCCGCGGCAGCGGCGCACAGACGAGCGGAAGGCAGGCAGGCAGGCTCTGCTTTGAAGGGTCACTATGTGACAGTGGGAACCTGCCAGCAGGTGGGAAGGGCTAAACCATGCACCAACTCTGCACTCTGTGGCTGCAGCTGCTGCTTCTCCTCTATTCAATGTCAAAGGGCTCACCTGTGGTAGATCATTGCTGTCTCCATGGCCTCTGTGTGGTTACTTACATGAACAGACACCTTTTTCTTTCACTTATGATGAGGAACAGATGTGAAATGGCCTTCCCTCATTCAACTCTAATGAATTTGTTCTGAAGCCAAACATCAATATTTATATCAGTTATCTAGGATAATTAAGATCCTCAAGTTCTTAGCTATTTGTTCATCTCAGTTGAGAAAGCTTTTCTCTCAACACTCTTTTATTTCTCTTCAGTTAAAAGCAAAATCGTCCTTCCACAATGGTGACCTGCCTAAAAATAATTTGGCCAAGATGTAAGTTGCCTTGATCCCAGCACAATTAACTGAAGAAAGCATTAATAAATCCAGATTTTCTGCAAATGACCTCAGCTGTGCTCCTGAATGAGCAGCTGTGCCAACCTGGGAAGTCGAACTGCAAAATGCTTAAGCTCTTTGACAAGGTTCTTTGCTATCTATCTCTTTAGATTCCTGGGTGGAAACAATGTCCTTTCTTTATCAAGTTGCAGCTTGCAGTGCTTCTTGCTCCTCTCACTGAAAAGTGGTGGCAGGAGTGCGGTTAAAACCCTCTGCCCTGGTCCCTTATCTTGCTGATCTAGAGCTTCTCTCATTCTTTGCTTAAGTCAGAGATGTAGAGAATCTTATTATACATAACAACTCATCCTTCCTAAAATGGGGAGCTCACCTACTAAAGAAGTATTTTTCATGTCTAGAATGGAAAGTTAAATCTCTCTTATTTGAGCACATTTCTTCTGTTCTCTGGGGTTTTTTTACCACTTTCGAAGACTGCTTTCAAGTTCCAGAAGATTACAACATTTTGAACAGAAGTTTTTCTTTCAGGGGTGATTAATTACCTTCTAAAGTAATAAAAAATAATTGTAGTTCATTTTCTTTTAAAACGAATATGTATAGGTAGTTTACAATAAAGAAAGTGCCTCAGACCTACTGTGATGATCTTACCCATTTGTAATCCATTAAACTTTCAGAAGTAGATGTGATAATTTCAGCACATTAGAACTTGCTTAGACTGAAGAGTGGATGTATCAAGGAAGTAATGCTGTGTATATTTTTTCAATTAATTCAATTAATTTGAAAACAATGAAAATGGTAAGGCACTCTATTATTATGTGTATAGAAATTCAGGCTTGAATTTAGTTACTGTTGTTCTGTTGATGACCCAGGTGCTCAGAAAATTTTGGTTAATCAACAATCTGTTTCCAGTTTGCAAGTGGAAATTCAAGCAGAAAAGATTCACAAAGATATGAGCAAGAGCTGGTTTGCCATTTTCCACTATTAAGTATTAATAAGATCAACTGAATTTTGAAAAACATTTGAACTTTAAAGTGTTTAATTTCCATTATGTGAACAGGTGCTAAGATTAATCAAAAGTCATTATCTGATAATTTCAGAAACTTTCCTCAATAGAAACACAAGCGAGGAAGATGCCATAGCTTCTTCTTATATAACTGCAGTACAGAAAGTTAATATTAAAAGGATCTTCTTCACTTACCTAACCTTTTGGAATTAAAAAAGTGACAAGAGGTACGATAGTATAACATGCTAAAAATCAAGGCATTTAAAGAAACTTTACGAAACAGGCAGCAAGGGATAATAAAAAGGAAAATGCAGAGGAGAATACTAAACTAGTATGTATCAAGGACCAACATACCATTCAAAGAAAGTGTAAGTGTACGTACAGCAATATTCACAGCAACCTAGGAGGCTATGAAGCTTTGTGAATTCCAACATAAAAGGTCTCCAAAAACTACATTAGAGCTAAACAGCAGCCAAGGCCATGGTTTGACTGTACAGGGAAGTGCCTTTGCATCTTTTTGTACTGCACCAAAATCCTGCATTCATGTGCTATGAGATGGCAATTCAATGTAAACCTGCTCTGCCACATCTGTTCTCGTTGCACCAAGACTCATTTGTTTTCTCATAGATAGCCTGGAAGCCTAAAGTTGGCATAATGCTTGTGGTCTGGGAAATTGGAAGACAAGACAGATGTACCCACTCCTGATCAGGATCAAAGTTGTATGGGTAAGTGATCCAGCAGCACACAGCCCATAGGGATGGTAGATCCATCCCTAAGGAGAAGCCATGAAAGGGTTATATTAGCTGAGAAACTCCCCAGTTAACTCATTTTTTGTCTGTGTCTGGGTAACACTTGGCCAAAGAGAGGCCCGAGATTTTGGGCAGATATCTACATCATCCGAGTCGCACTGGTGACCATGGTTTTCAGATTATTTTCTGATCTCCAGGAAGGAATTTCCAAAACTATATAACAAGTCATATCTATCTCTCTAAGGCACCTTGAACTCCAGTCAACTGTAGTGTCAACTGTGACTGGTAAGTAGAATTATTAAGTAACATGAAATATTCATTGTCAAACATCTGTTAGTGAGTTCTATGCTATATCAAATTTTCATTGACCATATGCAGAGCTGTTTCCTTACTAAATTAGGATTTAAAAATCCACATTGTTCTGGAAGGGTCCATAACATGTCATGTTTTTCCCATCAATATAACTTACAAGATGTAAGTAATTGCATCTCTCCTAATGACTTATTCTGTGGCTGCTAATTTACGCAGCATGTTTTGGACAAAGGATTATTATCTAATTGTTTTTCTGCTGTGTTATAAATAACTAGAAAGACTCAAACAACTAAGCCTGGAGTGATATGCAAGTGCAATACATTTTATTAGAGGTGCCAACTGATAGTAAGTATATTAATAGAAACTTTAAGCCTCGGTTTCTGCTGCCATAAAGAATACTACCTGGAAAAAGTATTGCTACCAAGTATAAATGTAAAAACAAGAAAAACTAAGAAAATCAGCAAAAATCCCTTAAATAATGCCTGCAGAAGTTGCATAGAAGATTGTATTAAATGGAAAACTAGAACATCTCCAGGGCAAGAAAATATTTGATACAGGATATTTGAAAATTGTACTACTAAAGAAAAACAAAAATCAATGAGAACCAAAGTGCAGCCTCATCTACAGATTAAGAGGTAGAGAGAACACTTTTACCCTGCATTACATTTATCAGGCAGTCTATTTAAAATATATGATTGAGTGAAGGCTGAAATTTATCTCTGTGTTCAGGAGTTAAGAAGTACTCAATTTTTCCTTTGCTTATTACATTGTAAGCTGCCAAAAATATTATTTTATACTATATAATATATAGTATTTAAAATAGAAAAAGAAACAAAATAGAAACAAAAAAATGTGTTAGAATAAAAACAAAAGTCTTGGCTGACAGATAAAATAATCAGATTTCTTATAGAATTTTACTCCAAATTCCACCAATTAAGGACACAGGATGAAAAGGGCTTTGCAATAAATTACTGCACGTGTCAGAGTAGAATATACGACAATTTAGCGCAAAAAAATTCTGTAAGAGTGTGACAGTTGACATGAAGGGTAAAAGAAAAATTCCACCCATAAAATTATAGTGCAAAGGAAACTGTTACAGTAAATGTATAACACACTTTTCAAATATAGAGTCGCAGCACAGGGAGGATATAGAGTTGGCGTGGTTTGGGTCAGAAGCCCTGTTGCTGAATTCTGACTAAGCTGCAGTCTGCCAATCGATTTGGCTCCAAGCCCAGCAAACCAAGGAATTACAGTAGTCAAGGCTAGATGCTGTAGTGAATGAATTAGAGTCTCCAGGTCAGTTTTGGATAGGGAAGAGAATATTTTTGGCAACAGTCCTGAAAGGCATTTGGTAATGAAGTGAACAGAACTTAGCATTAGTCCAAGGCTGAAATTGTGCATAGGTAAATGACATGTGATATTAGTAAGAGAAATGGTAGACAGATTGCAGAGTAATGAAAGAGGTATTGTTTTAATTAATTTGAGCCAAGCACTCATTCTTTTGGTTATGGTACTGTTTACTTTCAAAAAAGAATTTGCCTTTCTCACTTTTAGAGCTGAAAACCTGCAGCCTCTCCGTGTTACTCAATTCACAGACGGAGAAACAGATGTGATTGCCTTTGACTAGCAGAGGAAAACATCAGAGTTGGAAATATCACCCTAGGGAAAACTGCAGATAATGCAAGGGATGGATCCTTAAAGTAAAGCATACCACAGCAGGATACATAAGCAAAGGCCATTATAGATTTGTATAATGAAGATACAGGTTTTGACAGATATATCTTCAAACTACAAAGTACAAAATACCTCATCTGCCCCAGATAAATGCCATAGCTGTTTCACTTTGTTCTTGGTTTTGTTGGAGTTTTGTGTTTGGCTGTGTTTTTTTTTTTTTTAATTTTTATAATCCACAGTTATCTGCAACTCCATCAGAGAAATTTGGTCGGCATGCTGCCCAGATGCTTGTAGGTTCCTTAAGACATGATGTTAAGACATAGCATGATGAAGGAGAAAACCACAGGATTTCACTATTATATCCCCAAATTCCACCCTTTTGGACAGACCGAGAGAAT